TGTGTGTGTGTGTGTGTGTGTGTGTGTGTGTGTGTGTGTGTGTGTGTCTGTATGTGTATATGTGTGTGTGTACACACGTTGAAATGGAGCTGGTGCTTTTCTGGTCGGAGGCAACATTTTGGAGCCATGAATCCCGGGAAAGGAAAGAATCGAATTGAAATTGGCTTAAAGCAAAAAAACCCCCAAAGCAACAGTAGCTGTGAAGACATTGCCTGCGGGGGGTAACAGCTGGGGGGAAGTCGCAAGCCCTCTCCGGGAAGGTTTTTCAATGGGTCATTCGCAGATCAGGTTTTCCCCATTCATAAATGGCAATGTGTATAGCTATATCTATGCACACATATAGGTACACACACACACGCATGCACACACACACACACGTATCCCAGCTGCTGTTTCAATGTGTTAACTGTGCACAAACACACATACACGCGCGCACACACATACATGCACATATCCCGGTGTTAAGCTGCATATGTGTACACACACAGACATATATATACACGCGCGCGCGCATATGTGTATGCACACACGTTACTCATATATCCTGGCCTCTGTTTCAATGTGTTGAACTGCATGTGTGCTATACACGCGCGCATACACACACACACATGTCCAGGCACACGCACGGATCTACCCCGGCCGCCGGTTCAGTGCGTTGAGTCGTGTGCGTGCGCGGGCTTGGGCGATGCCGGTGCTGCGGGGAGGCCGCGCGGGGATGTCGCGGGGCGGAGGGAGGCCCCGGGCGGGCGGGCAGGGCCGGCCGAGGGCCCGCGGGCTGACGGGCGCTGCTGTCTTCCCCAGCGTACCTGGTGCAGGCGGTGAGAGCAGCGGGGAAGTGCGATGCGGTCTTTAGGGGCTTCTCCAACTGTTTGCTCAGGCTGGGAGACAACATGGCCAACTACCCGCAGGACCTGGACGACAAGAGAAACCTCCAGACCATCTGCTCGTAGGTTTCCCCTTTCCTCGCTTTCCGCCGGCGGGGCGGGGTGGGCTCCGGGAGGGGGAGGCGGGGGCGTCGAGGACCCGAGCCGGGGCGTCGCAGCAGGGGCTGGGGCAGGCAGGGCCCTGGCTCGGGCTGGCCCCGCGGCTCTGGGTTGGATGCTCCCTGCTCAGGGCTCCTCAGCTCGCCTGCCCCCTCTCCCCTCCCCTCCTTATCCCTGAGCCCTGGCCAAGCGAAGGCGCCACTTGCCTAGCAGGCAGTGCAGAACCCCCGCGGCCTCCAGCAATACCTCCCCGCTCCCCTGCCCTTCGCGAAGGCCTGGTTTTGGGTGGCACGCCTTGCCTTTGGGAGGCTGAGCCAGACCTCACGCTCCGATCCGGAGTAGCGCCCCCCCCCCCCGCAGTGTAAACTCCCCTTGGTTGGGATCAGCCCAGGGACCCTGGGATCTACTCCCCCGAGATAATACCCTCCCGCCCTGGGATCCTTCCTCCGAGCTCGTTCGGATCCAGTGGGCTTTGCAAACCTTGGTAGAAAAGCGCCTCTCCGGGCTGGTGGGTGGGATCTGAGGCCGATCTCCCTGCACACTCGGAGCCCACCCCGCATCCAGATCAGCCGGCGAGGGAGGGGGAGAACCGGCTGCAAGCCGGGCCAGGCGGGGCTTTGCCTGGGGACAGGGAATTATGAAGGATTTCACCGCCCCTTACTGCATATCGCCCGGGGATCTGGGAAGCCTACGGGGCAGACCCCGGCAGGGGTCCAGGGCGGCCTCCCTGAGTCTGGCCGCGCCCGCAACACGAGCTTCCAGGTGCCTTTGAATTACCAGCCCACGAAATCCGTTGTTTTTTGGCTCCTCTTCCGAAGCCCGAACCGTTTCAATATAGGGCAGAGACTTCCTTGGGCAAGTCAGGATGCGGAGGAGGATGATAATACAGATGATAATAAAAGAACTACCATCGTTGCGATAGTAACAATAACGACAACGATATAATCAAAGCAATAATTATAGCAATAATAATAACAATAGTAGCAGTAACAGTCCTGATAATAATAAGGCTAGCAATAACAATAATGATGATAACAATAACAATGTAACAACAGTGATGATGATTGTCATAATAATGATAATAATTACGATTCTGATAATAGTAATAATAGCAGTAACAACCACGAGTGGAATTCTAATAAGAATTATGATAATAGTAATAATGACAAGGATGATAGCAATGAGGATGATAATAGTAATAATAATGATGATTGTAATAATAGTAATAAAACAGTTATAATAGCAATGCTGATAAGAATAAAAACAATGAAAATAGCAATGATGTTGATAATAATAGTAATAATAACAAAGATGCCTGTAATAGCCATTATAACAATGAAGATAAAATAATAATAATAATAATAACAACAAGGATAATAGCAATGATGATGATAGTAGTAATAATAATGATGGTTGTAATAATAGTAATAATAATGATAATAGTTGTAATGATACTAACAAGATGGTTGTAATAATAGTAATAATAACACTGATTATGATAATAGTAATAACAAGGATAATGTTGTTGATAATAATAATAGAATAGCAATGATGGTTGTAACAACAGTAATAATAACACAGCAATGCTGCTGATAATAGTAGTAATAACAATGTTGATTGTAATAACATTGATGCCAATAGTAATGATAATGACAATAGCAATGATGCTGCTGATAATAATAATGACGATGATTGTAACAATAGTAATAATAACGATAATAGCAGTGATGCTGATGACAATAATTGTAATAATAAGGCTGATGATGACGACGATGAGAATACTAGTAATAATAATAACTAGGAGAGCAAGGTGAATGGCACGGCGCTACTTTTAAATCAAGGCCCAGTGGCCCCGGCCCCCAAGCTGTGGCCCCCCGTGGGTTTTGCCATGAATCCCGATCTCGTGCTTGCTGCTCCCCTGCGGTCCTTCAAGCCCAGCCCAGCGCTGTCCTAGTCGGCAGCAACTGAGCTGCTGCAGAGGGACTAGACCTGGGAGCTGGGGATCTGTCTCCGAGAAAGGGCTTTGTCCTGGCTACCGCTCGGGATTTAGCTCCTGTGCCAGGCCACCAAAATGGGCCTGGTTTCTTTCAAGAATATTTTTTCCCTTCCCACTCCCCCAGCCTTGACCCTCCCCCTTCCAGTCTGTGTATTGAAAGGAAATCGGGGAGAAGATTTAGTTTTCCCCGGGGAGATGCAATTACAGCAGAAATACTGCAGGAGAGGCACACTCTCAGCCTTCTTGGCATCTCCATATCTCATTATTTATTACAAATGTAGCAAACATTGGAGCCTACAACCAGTTTAGAGTGCTCATAAATTGCGAGCCCGCAGCCTGCCTTTAAAAGAAAGAAAGGAAGAAAGGATCAGGCGCCGGTTTGGGGGGGGGGAAGAGCAGAGGACAGTGGCAGAGACCGCAAGGACTTCACATAACCTGCACCAGGGGCGGAGAAAAATCAACCGCTCTCCTCTAACCCGAGACGAGGCAGCAGGGATCAATCCCGCGTGCAGGTTATATTTAGCCTCGGGATCTATTTTTGGGCGAGGAAAAACAATGGGGAGGCGTTTGAGGAGCAGCTGAGGAGGCTGCGAAGGAATGAGCAAGCGCTGATGGGCCGAGGCAGCAGGGGGCTCGTGGGAATCAATGGGGCAGCTCCCCCCACGGCCCCGGGCTGGACGGTCCGAAATGGACCGGGCCCCCGGTGCTACCGCTCCCGCTCCACGCCCGGGGCTCGATCTGCTGCAGCCAAGGGGACCTTTGCCCCGATCTACAGGGCATCGACCCTTTTGCAGTTTGTCCCCCTCGATCTAGTAGGTCCTTGGCATAAGGGAAAAGAGTAAATAAAAACAAATAA